AAGGAAGGAAGGAAGGAAGGAAGGAAGGAAGGAAGGAAGGAAGGAAGGAAGAATCCAGGCTGAAAGACAGTCGTGGGTAAAAGCACTTGCTGCTGAACCTGATGCCCTGTTTGACCCCCTCAGGATGAAGGAGAAAACCGAGCTTGCTGTGTCCTGTGACCTCCACATGCACACCAAGGCATGCATGTGCCCCCCACCAGTACACAAATGTAATAATGTAAAGGTATAACCCCTGAACCTGGCACAGCTGGTGCAGAACATGTGTGCTCTGCCCGTCCCTTCTATCAGCTCCCTACGTCAGGGCTGTCATGAATGCTTAGCCATGTTACTCCTTCCAGTAGACCCTAGATGTAGCCTCCCAAGCATTCTGGGCAGTGACTAAGATCATAACAGGTCAAGACCATGGAAACAGACCTGCAGACATGGCAACACCAGTCTTTTGTCTGTTCCAGCTGAAATGTTTCAATCAGTCTATGGGACGTTGTGTTAAAAAAAAAAAAAAAGACTTTGTCTGTTTTTTGTCTTGGATCCCTAGGGCAGAGCTTCTAAATCCTTGGAATGTCCTAAGTGGTAGGCGTGTCTTTGGTAGTCATGGTGGGCCCTGGATCACTCCCAAGTTTACACTAACAAGGTGACTAACGGTGGTTGTTCTGCATGGGCTTGAAAATGATCTATGGTAGTCATATTTTCAGTTTTGAATGTGTGGGTTTACTAAGCATAAAGCAAGCCAAAGTAAAGGAATAAACAGAAGAGATAGATAGGCGGATAGTCTGAGAGACGGACGTTAGACAGCAAACATCAAATCAGGCGCTCAAAACATCCAGTTTTTAAGAACCAGCTAGAAAACCCTCATTGAGACAGTCAGCTGGGGTGTCTGTAAGTACCAGAAAGAGCGGATGTCCTCTCAGGTGATACTTTCTGATCAAAACAACTAACAGCAGAAATGAACCACCACTGAAAGGTGCAGACACCCAGCAGAAATTAACTGGTCAAGCCTATTGTGGGAGTCAGTTGAAGTTCCGATAAAGAAAGCCCTGGCCAGAACAGAGTGTCCCCTTGAAAGAACAAACAGCGACAGACACAGATACATCACCGAATTGGGGGCTCGCAGGCATGCAGCAGAAAGCAGCTAAAGAAGCTAAGGCAGCCGCCTGGGGTTTCTCTCATGAATGAGTTTCCCAGCACTGAACTTCCGGCTTCCCTTTCTCAGTGCAGGCACTTTTATATCATGAGAAAAACAATAGCAACACCTGTTGGAAACCGGTTACCTTCTAGCTGCTTTCAAGGGCATGGTGTTTTTACTCTGGGGCTGCTTCGCTGTCCCCTCCCTGTCACAGACTTAGGAAGGAAGCCCATTACCAGACGGAGGTTCTATAGGACATTTGACATCAGCACGCTTGGGTCTAAAGTTAGCAGGGGAATTCTGCTCCCAGACACAGCTTCTCAAGCAGTTTAACAGCCCATCGTAATTTAACAGTACGAAGAACATTGCAGTGACCCGTTCATATCTACAGGATGAAGCTAGTGTGGTCCCTGATGTGGTTAGATGGTTAGGGCTTTGAGTCCTGTGATGTCAGTGAAAGGGACAGAGAGCCAGAGATGGTGTTCGCTCTATCACTCCAGAATCATGAATCCCCAATAAAAATTCTGGACACGAGGTCCAGGTGATATGCTGTGGGGTAGCACCTGCTGGTGATATATGTAAGACTCAGAAGCACTGCACAGGGGACCCCCTTAGTCCTCCTTCTAAGGCAGGGGTTCTCAACCTTCCTAATGCTGCAACTTTTGAATAAAGTTTCTCAGTTGTGGTGACCCCTAGCCATAAAATTTTTGTTGCTACTTCATACTGTAATTTTGCTATTGTTAAGAATCGTAATGTATGATATGCAGGATAATCAGATATGTGACCTCTGTGAAAGGGTTGTTCGATCCAAAAGGGGTCGTTTTGATTGAGAAACACTGCTCTAAGGATCTCTTCTTTTGACTTATCTTTACATATGTTCTTTAAAATAAAACTGAAATCAGAGCAGGAGAAGGAGACCCACATGCCTGCCTGGGAAGCTTGCTCCAGGGAGAGAGAGAGAGAGAGAGAGAGAGAGAGAGAGAGAGAGAGAGAGAGAGAGAATGGTCCCTGTCCTGTGGAGAGAAGTAGATCTGAAGAGGTAAAGGTGGGGAGGAGTGGGCTGAGGTGGTGAGCTGTGTGCACCCTGGGCTATGGTGAGAGCATAGGGCTGCACAGAGTTGGCCCTGCCCTTCACTGGCTGCAACACTAGGAAAACTGGCCCTGCCCTTCGCTGACTGCAGCAGTCGGGGGAGCAGGCCATGCACCTTCCTGGGCAGCACAGTGGCTCTGACCCTGTTCGTGCGTGGGAGCTGGTCCTGAAAGCATGAGCATGACAGAGCTGGTCCCGCCCCATCGGCCACATGTGACACGTGTGAGGGAGAGATCCCTTGTCCCTTGCTCCTTACCAACAGCAGCAGGTGGGAGAACTGGCCCCCAGGTCATGAGAGCAGAAGAGGTGGCCCTGCACTCACTGCTCCTTGTCTATGCAGCACAGCAGAACTGATCCTGTTGGCTGGGGCCTGGGTGAGTGAGCTCTGGGGGTATGAGAGGGAATGGGAAAGCTGGTCCTGCCCCTCACTGACTTCAGCAACTGGAAGAGTGGCCCCTGCATCTCACCTGGGCAACACAGTAGAGCTGGCTGGCCCTGGTAGTGTAGGTGTGGGTGAGTCAGCCCAGTGTGTGAAAGCAGAACTGGCCTAGCCCCTTGCTATTGCTGCAAGGGGTGAACTAGCCAGGGCAATGCTGGAGAGCTCACCCTGGTGGTGAGGATGGCGGGGAGCTGGTGGACTGACCAACCCTGTAGTCACCCAGGCCCAGAGCCAGAGCTATGAGTTGGGCCACCCTAAATATCCACCCATCTGTGATCTGCTGGAGCGCATGAAGGGGCTGGTCCTGCAGATCCAAAACACCAGGATCTCCACAACACAAGATAGCCAAGAGGAGTCCCAGTGAGGACCCAGTATCGACCCAGTGATAGAAGCCAGAGGCCTCAAACCAGACCAATGATTAACTGCAGTGATCACGAGCAAGTAAAGATGTATA